ACGGCAATCGGATTAAAATCGACTATTGTAAGGAAACAGGTACTAATACCGTACGGGATAGGAGATATTAGCGATGAGCAAATATTTTATGTAGTACCAGGTTTAACTTCTGCAATGATCTTAGGTAATGGCTGGTTGATGAAGACGTGTGGCATATTGACTTATAAATCTAAATCGATAATCATAAAAGGAGGTCAAATTCCTAGTGAGCTGACGATGATTGGGGGTAGCTCGGTTGAGGAAGCGTCAGTATTAGTTCTTGCAATTGTTAATGGTGCAATGGTCTAAGGGGAAGGTGAATATCAGCCTATAATTATTAATAGTGATTGTGAATCGTGATATACATGAGTTGTGTAATGACAGTCATCACTTGTATGAAGAGTTTACCGAGGATCATCAAAGTGTACCGGTTAATCTACGAAACGCATGAATCCAGGAAAACTCAGATGTCAATGAATTAAATGATTCTTTAAATATTTCTTGGTTATTTGGCAGAATAGAATCAATACGAGATTTTGTAAATGATTCAGTAACGTTTACGCCAGTTGGCTTGAAGAGCGGTTGTAGCGTTGATATTAAAAAGAACGTTGAGCCTCATATTATTAAGGACGCGTATAATGAAGTTAACGATGGCCCTCTGGGTGGTAAAGATAGTACAGTTGAGTCGGGGACATTGTCTATTCATAGTAATCCTAATATAAAGTGTATCGATTTAAATGCGAGCACTATTGATGATTTTCGAAAAAAAAAATATTGTGATGAGTGTGATCAGTTTATTGTGCATGATGTTGACTCTATATGTTATTAATAATTTAATCGATAAGGGTGCCGCTGAAAATGATGCCTTTTCAGCAAAGCTATGTACTATCGTGCAAGAGCTAACATCACTCAGTTCTGAGGAGAGAACCTGTTTTACTCAATTAATGATGAAGCACGAGCTTTGAAATTATAACTGACCACCGATGTTTGACTTTTTTAAATAGTTCATTATATACTAATGCGTGGTTACTTCGATGAAGCTTGTTCCTTTAACAATATAATTATTGATTTTTTAGCCGTAATCCAAATAGTACATTTCAAACGGATAACCGTCAGCATCCAATGATATCATTATGTGATTTATCATTATCCGTAAATACGTTGAGTATTGATAATGAGTCTTTAATGTGGTTGTGCCGATTGGAAAATGACCATGAATATGTTACGCTCATAAAACAAATTGACTAGGCACAGACAACGGACTCTGATATTATTAAAATTAGGACATATTTGTTATAGGGACAAGAAACGAAAAGATAGCAATTATATAGTATCATCGTATTTCAACGGGGATCGAAAATTGAATGTTGGCGTATAATAGTCCCAAAAATATTGACTGAAACCTTACCTTATTTATGTCACCATAAATTGGGCCATCCTGGTACTTATAAAATGTTTGCGTACTTACGACAATATTGTATATGGAAGTCGATCAGGAGAGATGTTAAATATTTTGTTAAGCATTGTGATCTGTGTCTGAGAGTGAAACTTAATGATGTATGTATGAAAGGTGAATACCAAATGTTGCATCAAAACGTCCGTATGAACTTGTAGCAATAGATTTTTATGGCCCGTTACGTACTTAGGCCAATTGAGCGGCCGGATTCCAAAACAGGCTCAATTCTCGGACTCAGCCCCTCCATGGCGCCATACATACCGAACGCGGAAATTTTACTGTGAAATTCCAAGGTTGAAATTTCCTTATACAAAAAATACTAGCGTGTCCAGCTTGATTGCGTGCACATTTTTTATATTGGAATATTATATAGCTAGGATTGTTAGTTTTCTTTAAAAAAAATTAAAACTTGTTTTTTCGGCGATTAAGAAAATCAATGGTTTTTTTTTATATTCAACTCGCCACCACTTCGTTAATAATTGATCGTTCGCTTCGATTCTATTTTCCCCAAGCAAAAGATACTCTAGCGATGATGACAGTATCATTACCTGATCGGAAAAGCTTTTTTTTATTGATAATTATTTACTTCTCATCTCGCTTTGCTGACAATTGAATCTCAAAACTTCGGTCAAAAAACCGTAGTGACGAAACTTTTCGAAAGGTATATTCATGTGCGTCAAAGGAAAAACACAAGTGTCTCGCTTATTTTGTTGTTTCTCTACACATGTCAAAATATGCGATATATTGACGTTTTTCCCTAAATAACTATACAATGTACAACATATTACAGTATATTACAGTATATTCTCCAATACTTTTTTCTCTGTTATAATAATTATCCGACATTATTAGATCATTGTGATGATTCATCAAATCATCAGTCATAAGAATTTATACTAATGGTTTATGTTGTTTTTTTAACGAACAGTGCCTTTCATGAACTATATTTTACAAACTCATTCTTCAGTGCAATGAAGAAACTCTAATATTCTAACGTTCTTTGATTAACCATGGTACTAATGCACTGTTTTACCAATAATCCTTTACTACAGGAAATAAAAATGTAAGAAAATTTATTGAAAATTGATAAATTTTTACGTTTGCGATGAAAACAAGCGAACCCATCTTTCTGTTGGAATATGGCTAAAAACAATTAACGATTTGTCAGCTCTATTCAGAGTGAAGCAACGGCAACTCTCGTTCTTTCTTTGTCACACTATTATTCACTTGTCAATATATACCTTTTACTAACGCATCGCTAGTATTTTATTGATGATCATTAAAGCAATAAAAGTAAACCTGCGTTGTCTTTTACGGGACTCATTTTCTATACTTTCGTCTCTGTGACTCCGCTGTAATGTCGGTGAGCGTCCATCTCTTTCGCACCCTTGCCAAACGCCGCCTCCGCCACGCGCATCGCGTGTCGCTCTCGCGCTCGAGCGCGATTGTAAGCAATCAATCGCAGAAGCTTCAATTTTCAATTTTCTCAGCTGAAACTTTCCAAAAATTTTCCTGAGGCTTTGACGCACATGAATATACCTATGTGCAATTTCATGTTTCGAAAAATTTCGTCGCTACGAAAAATTTCGTCGCTACGTTTTTCGATCGAAGTTTTGAGATCAGCGAAGCGAGATGAGAAGTAAATATTTGTCAATAAAATAGTACATTATGATACAAGTGCGGAAAGTTGATGATTCCTGACGAGTTCCTGACGAGGTTCCTCACTCGTCAGGAATCACCCACCGGCACACCCGTATCATATACTATTTTTTGCAACAATGTTCGGAAAGTTCGTAGTATATGCACCAAAAAGAAGCACGAAATGGTCGACTCTTGATAAGTTCAGAGTGTACGGGAATCATAACATTCCCGTACATCAAGAATGGACCATTTTGTCCTTGTTTTTTGGTGCGCAAATTGTATACTTTCCGTACAGCGTTGCAAAAAAGTACTAACCGACCATATACATCAGATAGGAAAGCCTTGCAGGATATTGTCTGATCACGGAACTCAGTTTACAGCTACTAATTGGCGTGTCACATTAGAGGAATCTGAAATCAAAGTATTATTCTCATCTATTCGTCATACGCAGTCAAATCCTGCTGAACGAATTATGAGGGAAATAGGTCAATTGTTTCGAATAATTTGTGCAGAAAAACAAACATCTTGGGCGTAATATTTGATGAAAATTGAAAATTTATTCAACATAATAAGTCATTCACGTACGGGGTATACACCCCATACATTATATTTTGGAATACCTGTAAACGACATTATAATGCGAACGGTAGAATTTCCGTCGAGGGTGCCTGAGGATCATGAAAAATTCATTGCATTTGTACGTGAACATATAAAAATAATTATAAGAATCGTTTAAAACATCAAACCGGTAAATCTAATATCCCGTTACGATTAGGAGATTTAGTATTACTGTATGCCCCAATGCATTTATGTTGGCTGATAGGTTTAAAGACGATGTAATTAAAGGCACTTACAATAGAATTAATTTAAAATTGTATTATGAGCGGCCTGTCTTGAGTGAATCGGTTTACATGTACATATTATTAAACACCCAATTGCTGTTTACTCGTTATAGTTCTGTATAGATTCTATTTTCTTTTCCTATAGCATATTAGGTTACATTGAAGATTGAGTCAGTGTAATGTAATAGGGGAAATGTAACAATTATTTTATATTTCGCGCTAAATTTAGTGCGTAGTTGCTAGCGTTTTAGTCAAGGGAACTCCCACCACTAAACTAGTGCCCCGTCCTGTCCGGTAAGCGACAAATATTGTCCCAATTCGCCAATTGTCGTCTGACTTGTACGGATCGGATGGACAGAAGCACTATATACATGCATATAGGCGGTCATTTATAACAAGGTATTCATAAAAATAAATTTAGAGACAATGATAAATTCAGTATAAATTATATCACATTTCTGTATTTTCTTTGCTTCATATACATATAACAGTTCATACCGGCAGTTCATATCTGCAATAGTACGTTGAATCTCTGGAATAAAGTTACCGGCTAAATACAGCAAGTGAGAAGAAAGAGAATTTATCAAATCCGATTTGCTGAGGACATTTATACCATCTAATGAGGAAAGAAAAACATTACAACCTCCTCACTAAGATAAAGAGAAAGAAGTGAACAGAATTATATATTATAAGGTATTTCGATTAATGTAAGGAATGGACGTATGAGTATGTGTGAAAGTCTGTATGTGTGATTAATTAAAGATCGTGTAGAATAGTATTTAATTGAAAGGAGAATGTTTCAGATCGAATTAATTCATGTGATAAACTGTTAGAATTCTTTTTTTTTTATTAAACCAATAGTATAAATCATATTTGCATTAATTTTCTCGTTTTTCTTTTTCGTTTTTCTTATCCGCGTTTTATATATAATAATAAATATTATTAAATTAGACTTAAATATTACAATACTCATTATTTGAAATCTTGCAAGCACAAAAGATCTCACTGGTGTCTGCAGGTTTGACTTACTTGTTCCAATCTGCAAGAAAACATTAAATGTCTAACCAAAATTTCTGTTTCAGATTTCTAACCTCACTATTCAAGTCCTAAGCTCTCGTCATAATACTGTTCCGGCCTCATGGCAGCACAGAAACTCACGCCACTTCTTGTCGCAGTTCTGCAACTTTGCTTATGTGAGTCTTTTTCATAGTTACGTTTAAGTTTTTGGGATAAGTTTATCCGATGTTCCTATATCGTGCAACCGCCTTGCCTGCTTCCTTTCTTTACCATTTCCGTTGGATCCGGAATATCGTTGAGATCTGCAAATTCTCCAGACGAAAGTCGCAAATTGAAAATCCTTGTCTTCCCGTCGAGCCGTGGGACCGCGGCTTCGAACTTTCCATTGGCTTCCACGCATGGCTACTCAATGTTCATCAACTTGTCCCTTGATTCAAGTATATCTAAACGAATTATGACTTTCATAAAAAATACCATGACTTTATTAATAAATCCAAGCAAATATTACTCCCTATTGATTCAAGAAAAAATGTCTCACTCGAGCCAAATATTGAAACAAGTTTGTAGATGACCTAAATTGTCCAGGAAGCGAACTAATTAATAAAGTTTACACGGTAAGCACGAAGTACAGTCATAGTAGCATTGAGTTTTCACTCGGTACCCTTTCATAACTATATACTACATTTGCGGGGTAAGTTCGTTTATTACAGGAATACGAGTTAATCGAGCGTACCTGATAAATGGTGTCGAAAAAAAATTTTAATCAGCAGACGAGAGGCCGAGACAAATGGTCTCTCTATTCGCGAAGAAACTTCCAGGACGGTAAAAGTAGATCGGCGGCTCCGGCCACAAATTTCAGTCCTCGATGAAAATAAATAAAATCGATCGATTTTACTCAACAAGAAGGGAAATTGCTTCTTTGCACTTTTTCCATGCGATACAGTGAAATTGAACGGCACCCGAGGTCTTTATTCACGGGTAGACAGTAGCTACGATACACCGACTCACTCAGTCACTGAGGGAACAGTAAATTTATCTGTACAGTCGCATAATTAAGTGTGGCCGTGTAGTGGATAGCTTTTTAACGGTTCCTATCAGTCTAAAAAGCTGTGCCGTTATTCGTGGGCACAGAGCCTCGTGGCTGACTAAATCATGACGGATTTAAGTGGATTCTACAAACCCCTTGAGTCCGAAATGTATTGCCTTGTACGGCCGTTGCGAAATAATACAAACACACCTAAGAAACTGTCGCAAATGTATTCGGGGGGTCTACGTTACGTAATACTTACACTCTTCGTGAACCTACTCTGAATTCGAGGCACGAAGATTATGGCCAACCTAGTTTACAGGAGGATTCACCCGTCAGTATATTGTAAGAACACTTTTTTTGTCGGTTCGCAAATCATTTATGTAACAAACAGAGTAAAGATATATGATAGAATCAGATATATGTTCTACCACTCAATACGAAGCATTCTGGAAAAATAATAGGATCTGTTGAAAAGTTTTGTCGTACCATTAAAACCAATATGAGGTAGTCTATATAAGAAAGAAGCAATTAGGTACGTTTTTTGATTAATCGATGTGATAAGGAAAACTGTCATTCAAAAGACAGGGCTAATTCGAATAGCTTTGATGTTAAAGGGAATTAAAGAAATAACATTGACGAGAGTAAACCATTTTTCGGAGTCCTAAGAAAGATTTAAAAAATAATTGACTCAAGTTTTACGAAAGAACAAAGACCAGGTGGTGACATTATGACTGGTATAGTTCAGTTACAATGCGTAAGGGCTGATTCTTTGTCGGCTTTTGAAAGAAACGAAGCCCAGAAGGAATGTAGTCGCGGTACCAGGAGGCTTGCGAGCTGTACGAGGGAATTGAAGCAAGAAAGTGGAGAGAGTGAAATAAGGAGCTTGAGTGAAACAGTTTTAATACGGCTGTCGCGCCCTTAAATAAAGCACAATGGCACCACCCTCTGACAAGTCCCAAGCTCCCTGGAGAGCCAACACGTATTGAAAAAATACCAACGTGAACTCAATACGGTTGGTACAAATACGAAAAAGTATAGAGTGCAACCTCAGGTGCCGTCGACGGAGCCGACGACCCGTCTGACTCGTACTTTCTCGGGATTATGCTAACGAGACAATCTCCCTAGTACATTGAAACACATCTGAAGCTATCTCGCTACTCCATTTTCAACGTTAATTTGTAAGTTTTTACGGAACCATGGAAAACGTGATGATAATTTATAGATGCTGTCTTATCGTGATCAGAATCCTAGTAGAATTTTCACTCAATTCGCGTTTCATTATACTTTCCGGAAATGTAATTGTTTCCTTTCTTTTCCTCTTTCATTTTAAATTTTCTTATGTTCCTTCGTTATAAATCTTGTTTCCCCACAAACGGGCAGATTGTGCAAACACTGGAACGTCTTCCTTCTTCTGCGTCTATAATGACGCATTTATAATACTGAAAAATTCTCATCAAAGTTACAATGGAGACTATAATTTCGCTAACTTCTACAAACTTGACTTAAAGAAACGTTTGCATCGCGAAGTTCTATCTTTTCCGAATCCCCATTTAAGCCAAAATCAATAAGTGTGTGTTCCGATCTGATAAGTACTTTCAGTGAACTCCAGTTCGCATAAGAAATCCCCTCTATCTTATACAAACGTAATTTTCTCAGATCTGCAACGAATCTTATCTCCGACAATGGAACTCCAGATATTATACTCCAAGTTAAATTTTTGGAAAATTTCTACCTGTATAGTAACGCTTAATCCAATAAGGTAGGAATAAAGGAGTTGGCTCGAATGTCCATCTTACTCCTGTCCAATAGACATAGGACGATTTAATATACACAGTAGTACTTTACATTCGTTCACTCGTTTTACTATTCTATTGCATTCCAACTATGTCTCATCGACTCGAATCGAAACGAGCTTCGAACACGTTGACGTGACTTTAAAGACCCTGGTTGGAAATTTGTAGCTACACTTCGCCCATTCCAAAGCGACCGGTTCAATCTTCGGAGAATTTCTGGAATTCTTGGGTTCCTCGCGCACCCGTTTCATGCTATGAAAATCCTCCGGAAAATCTACTGGAAAATCCGAGCCAACACGTTAAAACGTTTCCGCAACTCCAACACACTGTGCAACTGTACCAAATTGATTCAAACTAGATTGTCGGTGTATCGCGCAACTTTGAACTAACATATTTTGCTTTTCACTCCTCTTTTTAACTTTCTTTGTATTTCACTGCTCTGCCGACACCAACAATTTTCAGAGTTTACGCTACGCGAGTTCCATGTACCATGGCGTTTTTGTCATCTGTTTGTGAACAAAGGAGGATCGGGTTCTTTACTTTTAATTTGACGTTCCATAGCGTCCTTATTTTCTAGGATAGAACTTTAAGTTCTTCACTAAAAAGGTAAAGTACGCTAAATTAGAATTCTTCCTGGGCGTTTGGCTAGACTTCGTATATAAAATTCCATGAAAGAGTAATACCACACACGCGTCGTATTACGATTGCGCCCCAAGAATTTTTCCATTTATCGTTTGCTACGTGAACGCATACAAGAATTCGATACGCCAATATGGGTAACTTTGAGCTGATTCACGTCGTTGAATATCTAATCGACCATCATTCATTCATTTTTCCACCACGATGCCATCGGAAAATTCAATGACGCCACAAAATAAATATCTACGCTGACTCGAAAGTTCCTCAAACGTACGGAATTTCTAATTCACCCTTATGCGTCGAATAATCAAGTAACAAACACGATCGTGTAAAAATACTTGATTTATGTCAGAATTTGTTTACAGGTCAAATGTCACAGGAACTGGAACCGGTTTTCTTAGCTGCTTTAGAAAATCATACAGTAATACAAGGACGTGACGTATTCTTCACATGCGTAGTAAATCATCTACAATCCTACAAGGTACAAGGCTTTTACCGCAATTTTAGATATATCTAAAAACATATGTTAGCATTTATACTGTATGAAATTTTGAAACACTGTTTTAGGTAGCATGGATCAAATCCGATTCGCGGGCTATACTAGCGATACATACCCATATGGTTGCACATAACCCACGCTTATCAGTAACCCATAATGGCCACAATACATGGAAACTCCACGTTGCCAACGTGCAGAAAGAAGATTCCGGCACTTATATGTGCCAAGTCAACACAGATCCAATGAAGAGTCAGGTTAGTCCCTAGAATGTTTAATCTAGCTCACGCTATATGTAATATAGTTGCTTTAGTACTTATGTTACTTACTCGGAGTAAAGAAACTCCATCTCTCTCTTTTTCTTTCTCCCCCTCTCCTAAGCTTCTCTCCTTCGAATTCCCTCAGAATTTCCGTGAAATTCACAGGGGCGAGGAAATACTTGTAGTATATACGTACTTTCGTGTTTACAGGGTAAACGTTCGTTAACGTACAATAATAAGTAAACTAAAATAAACTCAACCATGTTTACGCAACGAGTATTTTTTAATTGTAAATTTTTTATTCAATTATTTTAAACCTACGTATATCTTTATCCAGTTGACGCGCACGAGTATAAATCAGTACAGTGTACCGTTAAGTCAGCGAGCACTCATTGCGCGAAATCCAGCGAAATGGATGAAGGGATGGAGCTATTCCTCTCGGGCTTTCTTATAGCAAAGCCTGTTCACGCGTAAGCGATACCTATACCTATCCTTTATGGGGCAGAAGTGAGAGAGAGAGAGAGAAAAAAGGGTCAACGAGCTTCAAGATCGAAAGGACACGTGCCTTAGTAATGCCACTCCTGTATAAAAATACTTTTTCGAGTTGCGTTCAATACGTTTAATCACGTTGAATGAAACGGTCGCTGATACGTGGCTTCCAACTTGTAAGATTTTTGCCCTTACAAATTCACTTACGAACCTAGTCTACACTGACTATTAGATTGTAGCTTGTATTCCTTTCCGAGGGAGTATTGCAATCCGCATTCAATTTCCCGAGACATGCGTGGATGCACAAGGAAAATACATGTGGTGGTACAAATGGATATGTACTAAACGAAGTTGTGTTGCTATAGGATGGAGAGTGTATATAATGTAAAATGCTATACCTACGTGAGGTACACAAAGTACCGACGTGAACGCAAAGATTTTACACGGTTTCCCGTCAGTCGCGTTGTATTTTTCTCAAAGAACTACTAGAACGCGGCGCACGAAATTTCATTGGGAGTCAGAGCGATAAGGAGTGCGGTATGTATGTTGGTTGCGGGATCCACAAGCCATCCTGTACGCTGCACAACATTTCCGTAACTCCAACGCTGTAGTACGGGGTATTAGAGATGTTATTGGGAATCTGCGCGCTTCGCTAGGAGTATTCGAAATGCTGGTCACGTTGCACGGAAATAACTTTTTCTTTAATGCCACGTTACACTCGCGTGTGTATAAATTCGGTTTAGCTGTATACAGGTCATGGGACCCACCTAGGGATTTATTGAAAAGACCCGGTTTAGCAGTCACGTGTAAATTGTATATTTTGAAATTTCGGACTTGGTTATAGAAACTAGTTATAACTCTGTGGAAGCTGGTAGATCAGCGATAGAAGAAGGTAGATAGAAGCCCGTAGCGAGCAGGAACACCGGAAGCAAATTTATGATTGATAAATCATGAATCGGAACCGATAAAGAATTGTTTTTTTATATATTCTGTCTCTTTTTAAGATGGGATACATGGTCGTTTTAATACCACCGGATATAATGGATGACGAGTCGGCTGATGGTCTGGTAGCTCACGAAGGTGGAAATATTAAATTACAGTGCGTCGCAACGGGAACACCAAAACCTACAGTCACCTGGAAACGCGAAGATGGAGCGAATATTACACTACGGGGAGACAGACAAAAGCAATGTATGATATTATTATTATCTTTCTCACATTCCATGTTTGCAGATGCTTTATATTCGGATATAATAAATAGAGTAAGTGTCAGGACATCAAAGTAAACGCGATAACGTACTAATCGAATTCAAATAATATTCATAGTCTTCAGTCCTTAATTATAACAACCGCATACATTTGGAGTATCTACCCATTAGATTTGATTATAGTCAATTTCATATGCGTTAATCCTTTCTAGATGGTAAGCGAACATTCAGAATTTACAGTACCGTCAATTATTCGTATAAGGGCCATTTCCGCAATGTTCCAAACTATTTCCTGATGGTTGGTTAATACCTCTACCTTTGCAATATTCTAGTTACAGTCAAATACATGAAAGTGAATTGCATCAGATCAAATAGACACAGTAATACATCGTAAAATAATAACTTAACAAAATATAATCGTAATAGGTAGTTTTTATATTTAAAATGATCCTACTCTACTGTATCTATTTCGCAAATAATAATTTACGAAATTACAAAAAAAAAAATGTAATTTCCGAATAAAATATCGTTTCCTTATACGAACAGGATGATCGTAATCCTATTACGCTAACATCCTTCATCCGGTTTGGGGTTCGGTGAGGAAACTGCTGTCGTAAAAAAACGATGTCCGTTAATACAATCCTAAAAAAAAATCAATCGCAGACGTCAAGATCGTCGGATAATCCGAGTAGAAGAATAAAATAATATATACCCAGTAGTGTTCGTCTAGCTTTTAGGACAAGAGGATCATAAAATCTTTCATGCATCATCAATCGCACTGAGTTCCGTAGGGTCTAGGGTCCGTAAGTTTCAGGCAGAAGCGATAATGGAGTTTGGCAAAGGCATCGAAATGGCTCAGAGCCCGCTATTCCTAATACACGAGAGTTGATCTTTTGCAGCCGTGAAGAAGTACGAGGGGGAGACATTGGAATTAACGAATGTGGTTAGGCAAGAGATGGGAGCATATCTCTGCATAGCAAGCAATGGCGTACCACCTACGGTCAGCAAACGATACACCGTAAACATTCACTGTACGTACAATAGTTAAATATTATAACATACCAAAATTGCATACATTATTCCATAAAAAAGTATCGTACCGTATTGTGCGGTTTACGAGTAAATTAAAAACACGTGAATACAGGTTCAATCAGAATAATCTGTTACAGTTAAGCCACTGATCAAAGTAACGAATCAATTAGTAGCTGCACCGATCAACAGTGATGTTGTCCTACAATGTTACGTAGAAGCATCGCCACATCCGATGAACACATGGTACGAGGAATCGGGTGAGAAAATGATTTAATTAATAATATTATAAAAATTATAAGTATTATAACATTAATTATCAGTGATACTATTCAGTTTCTGTTATCGTGAGGTCTTATGTTCGTGACAGATAAATGTGTTCCATTTAATATTTTCCGAGGCAGACTCTCATATTAATTTTCAGCAAAATTCAATAAGCACTTCATCAAGTACGTTTGTCACTGTATACGCGTATATGCGCACGTGAAACATTTTATCGGTTTTCTAGGCGACAAGTTACTTCTAAGCGACAAGTACACGATGACAGACTATGCACTGAATAACGACTACTCCTGGCAGATGAATCTAACGGTTCACTCGCTCGACAAAAGAGACTTCGGTGGTTACACGTGTAGCGCAGTGAATGCCCTGGGAAAATCTGAAGGCGTGGTGCGTTTACAAGGTAATAATTAAACTTAATAATATTGACACGCATTCCACAGAAATATTGAGCCTATGAGATTTGGCTTGTATTCGAAGTATCCACGAGCAACGTGTCTATTGCAGAATTAAATCTACCAGTAAAGACTACACCGGGGACGATAACAAGACACACAGATTCAAGAGCGAAAAAGAAAGTATCGAAGGCAAAAAAGAAAAGTAGGCGTCCTAACATTGATGGATTTGATGACAATGACCTTATAAATGGTATTGAGGATGATCTTGGTACTACTCAGATCATGGCTGGTAATGCTCTAGAAGGTCAACGCACTGAGAAACCCTTAACGTTACCATCCCTCTCACCACCATGGGTCATACTTAACGAAGCAAGTTCGAGATACTCCTTGATCTCGAACTTGACAATTCTGTCGTTGTTATTTACGGTAACCCTGTAAGAATTGACAGTAAATTTGTAAATCCGATGCCAGAGGGACGTAGCCTGAATGCCTATTCGACAATCCAGTCATAAGACCTACGTCCTTTTGGCATGACACGGCCGACTTGTTATTACTGTAAATAGGGAGATGTGAAGGGTGGCATCCCAGTGAAATAGTTATTGGACGTTCGCGCGTATATTAAGCTAGGTTAACGAAAGCAAGATGGATGTTCTGGATGGATGAACGAGACACATCCTGCGAAAAGCCAGAAGGCCAAAAGTGAAGGACTGCTGGCAACATGGCCTACGAATAGTGTATGTGACAGAGAGAGATAGACATAGAGAGAGAGGCGGGAGGGGATGAATCGATCCCGAAAAAATGAGGTCTTCCTGTTGTTCGAAATAATAAGCTGTGCGTGCGATTTTTTGTACTGAATGTGGTAAATCGTCAGTGCAACCAATGAGAGGATGCTACTGCGGGATTACGACTTCTCATGTAAATAAGGGAATTGAGGCAGCGGATTTAATACGTAGAGCTTTAGTTCAATTTTTAAAATGGTTAAGATTCGTTTAAGACATCAAATGCGCAAATGTGTGAAACGTAGAGGAATAGGAAGTACCTTTATCGAATGCGTACAGTTCTTTTTCTGTTAGAAATGTAAACTTTGGTATGGATTCCTTAAGTGAGGTTGTAATTACTGAGGGGATGAGTATTCTGGTAATTGAGCTACGTGAAATAACTTTTAATGATAATTTTTATACTCATCGTGTGGAAAATAAACGCCGAATTTTTCGCGAGATATTCTATGTTATGATACGTACCCATTATACATCCGTAAGATCATTTATGACTTCACGTATCAAGTATCATGTGTTTCGTATCGGTTTTTCCGAAATAAAATAAAATAAAATTTCTGACGCGTATTCTGCATGACTGAAGTCAGAATAGCTGAAAGAGAACAAAAAGAATCACCTTACACATAAATCTGTATACATTAACAGTGAAATAATGCAAAGTGAATTACAATAGCGGTACGTGCTCTGCAGGAACGGTAGTAACAGAAAACGAATATTACAGAATCGCATTTTTATTCCAAAGAGCGGTTTCAGCATATTCCTGAAATGTTTCACGGTATTCGTAAATTTCACATCCGATTGACTATAATCACACGTACCATAACGATCCAACAATTCTTCCAAGAAGTTCTTCCAATATTTTAACGCATTTCTATCTACATAATGAAAATATTATTTTTTATATTGAAATACACCTTCAAAGTCACTGTGTACAATTCTTTTGAAAAATTACTGACAATGAGCATTAAAATGTGCAATGAGACTTCGACATTTTAGTTGTCGATTAATTCACAGGTAAAATTACTCCGATTGCTGTGTGTCGTTACCGCGTATAATTGAGTTATACTTACTACGTAAAGTGTGTTAATTGCCAACCACAATCACGGAACAATGTACTCTCAATAGAATTCGACAGATATTACATAACAAATAATTACCTTGATTAATGACGTTCCTTCAAGTCATTATACTCACGTATAATCAAACGAGAAGTAGCTTTACTAACTAACCGCGAATATACGTATAATATGAGAAACATTGAAAACTCGCAAATGGTCTCAAATGATCAAGGTGAAATTCAGTCCCCAACCTAGTATAATAACGCCTAATGACAAGTCATCAAAGTCTGTACTGTTAAAAAGACAATTACTGGTTGAGATATCACTGGATTTCTCATTTAATTTGAATTTTTTATTTCTGATAGAATTCATGTTTCTTCACTATTAAATTGGAAATTTTTAAAAGTAATTGGAAAAATAAACCTAGTCAATAAAATGACCAATCGCATATCGATTTTGACTAATAAGAAAAAAAATGAAAAGTACAGTCAAGCTAAGAATATTCAGACATAGGGCGTGAGACGAAGATCCTGTAATTGACTATGCTAATTGTGAAAGATTTTTTTTTTTAATATATTTTCTAAAGTTTTTTTATTTTGTCTTATCTTTACCTCGTGCTGCGTTCAAGACACTATATAACGTGTACAAGGTATATCTACTCTTGTTACTAGACGACAAACTTACGATTCAGTGCATAGGATTGTACATACATGATTTTACAAAGCGTGATTAATAACCTCAAAATTTGACAAGTAATTGAAATTTGAAAATTAATTTTTGTTTACTGTATAATGCCTACGCTTCGCGCGGAACGAATCAAAACTTTTGAGATAAATGGCGCACACAATGATTGGTCCGTACGAATGAGAGGAGTAAGACTTTTAATATTCGATTCATCTAAGCAAACTTGAATATCTTGAATGTATAGTGCATATATATTGCAACTGAATAACTGCTCTTATGCGTAAATTTGGACCATTCCCATTTGATGTTAATAATGCGATCATTATAAGGTCTTTTCATAGTGTATATGAAACGCAATTACAATTTGAATCTATTGGGCAAGGAGGAGAACGATCTGTCATTAATAGTTCTCAAAGAAATGAAATTCTGCTATCTTACGATCCGTGCTGAGCAGATGTAACGACAATAAATACAATATAGTATAATCCCCGATATGATTCAGGATTTTCTAAGAAAATGGATGAAGACCGTCTCTGGATAATTAAATGAAAATTTATTTTTTTCAATATTATACGTATTATTTATCCTTTTTAATCCTTTTTTTTCGTCGAAACGATAAAGTAATATCGGTGGGCTATTTCAGCCCTTCTAATAAATACTTGTTACTATTTTTTCCAGGGAATTCTTTAACCCAATAAAAAAACCTGAATCATTATACTTATCACGCCTTTAATTAAACTCCCATAGGTGTATAGGAAGGAATGGCGAATTTATCGGATATGATACGTAATGTATACATAAATATATATGTATATACAATTATATTGCAACGATACATATGAATATTATAGGACCACGTTTAATGTACATACACCCGTACCTATACATGTTTTAAGTATCCATGTAAATAACGTAAAACTAAGTGTTGGAGTCGTACGTACGACAGTATAATCGAACAATGACGTTCATGAATCTGCTATATGAAACGAGACTAGATTTTATATGTGATATTAATCAAATCGGTATGTAATATAATAAGGAGGATAAAAAGGCAACCTCGTTACCCGCATGAGATAAATCTATAACTGTACAGGTCATTTCGCAATGGATGCTGCGCATGGAACAATAACGCTTATTATATATATATATTTCTTTACATCTGCACCACATATATTTTAATATACTATAAAATTAGCTTTTACATCATAATATTCCTGATAAATGTTGTTTTTAATAACTTTGATTTTATAATCGAATTACATTAATTATATTAATAATTTTTATTACTTTAAATTAAAAATATATTCATGAAAATTTTATATTCCATACGTAACATCCCTGGCATTTAATCCTGTATAAATATAACAAAATCTGCAACGTTATAATTACAGCGAATTGTCGCTCCGTAACACAACGAATATTCGGACACTAATTTTTCGCTAATCCGGTAAGCTTTCGGGGATTCTTATCTTTGTGACGAATATCATACACTATACTATTTTCATAAAAGATGATTTTTTGAGTCAACATGCAATAAATTCATGTGGGGATGTTTCTTCGTTATACCGAGTGCAGTCGAACTAGTACAGCACTCAGGTTACTCAGGTCACTAAAAATTATCACATATACATGATGGATACGTACAGTCCAATCTCGATACAAGCTTGTCCATTACAATCAGTTTTCTCTCCGGTCTAATTATTTTGGAATTCGGAAGCTTCCTCTACTTAAAAGCTCTTTTGAATTCTGGGACGCATATCTTATTACAAGCCTCAAGTGAAATGTTAATTAAACGTACATGTGTAAAATTAAAGGCTTATGACGAGTGCTCTTACTCGATACTGCTACATCCGGTAGTGGGAAAACTGTAATTCGGAGAAATAATTCCCCCACAGGGCCAAATGGAGGCTTATAATGAGATTGGACTGCATATTGAATCTTATGATCGTCCCAATTACGACCCCGATAGCTGTGAAATACCCCATAGTTTTAAATTCAAGTATTGTATTCCAATGTGATTATAATTATTACTATATGCTATGTCTATCTTCATGTAAGTTGAGACATATGTGTATGTATTTTGACCTAAACCATGTATTTTGAAAATTGTAGACAAAGCAAGTTAAAACGATGTTACTTTGAGGAGGCTGTTGAAATTCTATTGGATTCCGATCATTAAATTATTCGTATTGCAATCAAACGTATTAAGTGGTAATTTCGTATCATATCGAGATAACATGGAAACGTAAATAAAAAAATAGTCTGGATGCATTTTTCCAAGTTGTAATATTGCGTAGAGTAATAAAAATGAATAAAATCGTATCTGTGAAGTTATTAGATAAACAATATTGTTTATCTTTCATAAATTAAATTGTGAATAATTGCCTTCGATGAAATAAAATGATCACAGTAATAATTAGTATTATATATAATTTGGAATTGCCGTTACTACCGATAACAAAACTTATGATAGGAAAGACATATGATGTATGATACCATTAACTTCAGACAATAAAATGTTATTATCGATGTTATAATAATAGTATTATTTATGATTTCAGTAATTCAATGTATGATTAAAAGACAATTGTAACTAGGAAGGCAAAATACTTGGGACATACTACGTGATGGTACGTAAATATATTTACACGTTGCCGTAACAATACATACACAAATAGTTTCCTTTGAAATCAATTTCTATTAAGACTGTTTTCCACGTCTACGCTTTGTTGCTTTCAATCGTTGTAATGTTTCCGATTGTTTTTTATTCAAGGTTTCTTTTAATTTCTCAACGTGTGCTTGATAATCTATGGATTCAGCAAAAGTCTCCAATTCCAATTTTTCGATATTTGGTACTTTTTTATGCGCAGCAGTTAACATTTTGTTAAACATAGCTATTTGATTAGGAGCCAGGATTGACACTGCAGTTCCTTTAATTCCAGCACGACCCGTTCTACCTGCTCTATGAATATATCCCTTGATGTGTTTAGGAAGATCATAGGACACAACGAGTTTTACACCTGGAATATCCAATCCTCGGGCCAGAGCGTCTGAGCTTATAAGCCTATTCGGAAATAAAGAGAAATACAGAATGTAACTACATTGAAGGATTTTTTAAATCCATAATAAGAACTTACACTTGAATTTTTCCATCAGCAAACTTTGTAAGAACGTCCTCACGTTGTTTCGGTGCCAAGAGTGCTGATAACTCACCAACTACAATATTTTTTTCATTGAGAAAAGACTGGGCAAGAATGGCTAGTCTGTGAGCTGATTCACCAGAATTTGTAAACACTAATGCTCTTTCTGATATTTCGTTCTTGGTCAAGAGTTGTAAAAGTGCCAGTGGTTTATATTCTGATGAACATTCAACTGCTAGCTCTGTCAATTCATCGGGACTAGTGTAACGTCCAACAAACTCGCCAGTGTCAGCATCCAAGTCGACATCATCGTCTTTATCAGTTATCACTGACGTGAATAATATCGGCTGAAATAAGCCGAGTCGACTTAACTTTTCAGGATCTTGAGATAAGGTTGCGCTAAATAATAGCTTCTGCGCCGGCCGATTTGAGCTATTTTTTTAATAACGATATTAGTTCTGAATTTTTTGTTGCAAAAAAAAACTACAAAACACTAAACACAAATGTCACCGTATATAATATATTAATATGTCAAGAATAATTTACCTCGAGCGTAAATTCTCAACGGTAAGTGGTGGTACTGATAAATGAGGTGATGGAAGATGCTGCAGCCATTCTGTAGAGCGATCAGCTTCATCGATTACTAAAAATCGCAAAGCGGCCAAGGAAAAACCGACAGTTTTTTTAATATGATCCACAAGGCGACCGGGCGTAGCTATTACAATGTCCACTCGACTTATAATCTGGCCTCTCTCGGCTATAAAAGCAAAACGAAATTTAGTAAGATTCTAAAAAGTGTTTAATATTATCAATCAGTTAATACGAACTTTTTTTTACAAGATGCATTTGTTCTTGTTCAAAGGATGAAGCCCCTGAAATTAGCGTCACTCTGAGATTTGTATGTGCTGTGTACAAAAGCATAACTTTATAGACCTGTGCAGCTAACTCTTGCACTGGTAGAACAATCAAACAGCGTACCTTTGGTACAAATCGAAACTGTAATTCCTGGACTATTGGCAATACATATGCCAATGTCTTACCTAAATATAAATAGAGTATAATTAGAAAAAGAGCAATATTAATTTTATTTAATTGTGTATTATATAACCCAGTATCTACAGCAAAATTATAATACATACCACTACCAGTCGGTGCAGACACGCATGTATCCCGTGGCCACCAGCCCATTTTTCTGTCTTTGGAACATTTCAATAACCACGTTATCATGCTGGCTTGAACAGGAAAAAGTTTAGTAATGCCATTTTTTCTTAAAACTTCAAGAAGTTTTGAATCTAGAATGGCTTCAAATTTTTCTAAGTCAGGGCTATTACTTAAATCTGCAGATATAATTTCTGGATGGGCTAACCAATCTGGCAATACTCTTTTAATGGATTGTTTTGTTTTATGTAACTCAGAACCTAAGACCATAAAGTCCTGCTTGCCTTCTAATTCATTTAGCGCATCCTTCAGTTTTATTGGATCAACTGACTTCTTAATGCTTTCTGTTTCAAACTTATTTACAATCACATGTTCTACAGTTTCTGTAATTACATGCTCTGTAAGGCTACTATTCTCCTGTTTGATGACCTTTTGATTCTTTCTTTTCTTCTTCACAGGACCTTTTTCTTGCTGCACATCTCGTTTTTCTATTTCATTACCCTTGACAGTACCAGCAGCTTTCTGCTTTTTACGATCCTCAATTCTCTTCAGTAAAGCTGAAAGATGGTCTTCTTCAACTTTGGGTTTTTCCACATCTTCTCCCTGATATCTAAATTACATTAAATTTATAAATATGACATATATACGTCATAATAATTGAAATTAATATTACTTATTTATATAACAATTGTCAATAATAAATATAAATTATAATGAATGCGAATTTTTTGGAGTAAATAAAAATTACAAAGAAATCTCTTTTGCCTTACCGATTTATTACAAAAAGACTCATTTTGTATAATGTCCATACGCTATTACTTTTCTAGGTTATCCAATGTTTAACAATATTCTCACATAACAAGTCATTGTATTATATTTTTTAGGTGTTCACATTAAAAATTGATTATACTGCATAAAATATGTAAAATAGTACTATAAGTAAGTATAGGTATGTAAATAATTTAAAAACGTATCTATCGTCAACAATTCATCCACAGTAGAAACACGTTTCAAACATTATGCAGAAATATACATGTCCTTCTTTCCTTCCTTTTCTTATGGCTGACTCCTCCAATGAGGAGATGTGCCAGGAAATATACATGTAGCGCCACATATTTAAGACTAGCAACCACTGAAATGTAGGAATACTAAAGGTTGTACGGAATTGTTGGGGACCGCGTAAAGAGAGATACCGAGGAAACAGGCCAATGTAGTAGGCTATCTCTATCACACATTGTACAGTCTCTCAAAAAGTTTAAGCTTTGATAAAGCAGTACCTTGTATCTTACTCAATTACATGCAGATAAACAAGGACACAACGACGATACAATTAGTGTTATTGGCCTAGTGTAACCTAACCTAACCTAACCTAACCTACTCATCTCTGCTATATTGGCCTGTTTTCACGTTATCCCTGTCTAGGTGGCGCCCCTCCACTACCGTACGCGTCCAGTATACTTCTATTTCAGTGATCTATGGCTATGTTTTCACACATCAAGTATAGAGATGAAATGCATGTGCTGCACATCTATACATCTATGAACTGTAAGTATAATCCAATATATTTCAATTCTCCTTCAACTACGGTGGAAACATAGCCTCTATGTACCTAAAGTCAACCAGCCAACTTCATTCTTTGAATACCTTTAATTACTATATATTCCGGATAGTAATATTAAAATTTCGGAGTCTACAATCGAACAAATCCTTATTTTTCAAAAAAGACGACAAAACAGGAAGGAGCATAGAGATAAGAATTAGAAGTATTTTGACGTAAGTTTTGCTATGTGTGTACTAAACAGTTCATAGTAGTAAACGTGTGTATACGTGTACATACATATAAAACAAATGTATATACAGAACTTACGTTTTATGTATACGCTAGATAGTATGCACATACATACGCATGCGGAGCGAATAGTCAGATGCAACTTTAGATTAAGAATTTCACAGATAGAACATATGATATTATCTAGATTCTACCACGCGCGGTCTGATAAAGAAATTAAACATATGTGTGTTTAAATAAACAATCGTTTACACCACTGCTGCTACAGTATAAGCTGCCTTGCAGAATATTGAGGATCATTTGATTAATATTAAACAGTAACTTATTCTTTGACTTTTCTGCCATAATGTACTTCAACTAATTAATTCTCAGAATTAAAGCGAATTACAATTACACTGAGTATAAGTTAACTAAATTTAAATATACCATAGCACTGGCAAGTATAGCATATTCGTTCTTTCTTATCGATTAACCTAAAAATCTAATGTCGCGGCCTGACTATAAAACTTTGAATCGCAAGCCGGCACTATCCTTAAAATACAGATTCACTTCTTTTTATCATATACCCTGGATAACATACAGAATATTCCAACTCGTCACATAGCAAATCGTTCAATTAAAAAATATGTAAGCGATATAAGGTACAATAATTAAAATAATAAAATACATTTGTCACAATATATTTTCTCTAAATAAACTTTTCTTATTTAATTAAAACCTAGTTTTTAGTAGTAAATAACAGAATAATTGCAGTTGAAATGTTACTTACATATGTAACGATCCATGTCAATAATAGTGCTAAAGAGATTCAATTGAGATAAAATAAAACCGCAAAACATAAGTCTTCCAAGACTTTAAGTCTATTTCTGTACCGAACCGAAACAATCATTGTTTTCTGGTATTGAAATCACGTGACTCATCAATCATCGATGAGTCATTCTGCATGTCGAAGGAATATTCACTCTATTAAGATTATTCATATCTTACTGTAAGTAGAATAATACTAAGAATTCAAGAAAAATTCAGCATCCATATGATCTCACGCCTATGTATCATCGAATGACGTGTTTAATATACATGTCGCGTCATATAATTTCATCATTAAAAACCTTAGCCACATCGCGCATATATTTATACGTCATAGTGACACACATAATGACATACACTATCCTAATAACTGCCTTACAACCCTGGAAATGATCGATACTTAATTTCCCTAAAAGTATTAATTAATAACAAAAAATACTACATACACATACGTCGTTGAAAATATGAAACACCGGACATTATTTTTTTGTTCAGTTTTTGTTTAAATAAACATGTATATTTTCTGTACCATTCAACCCTGAAATTTCCTGAATCCATAATTCTTTTTTTATCCAATAATCGATACCACCACGGAAAGCGCCAAAATGTCTCGCCATACTGGCACCGCAACTTTGCCTTCAATTCGGCGTACATAAAGTTAGGTGTGTAAAATGACATAAAACATAGATGTTAATAAAACTAATTATTCTTAATTCATTTGTTTTTCTCTTATTTGTCTATTAAGGTGGTTCGAGCAGATACAAGATACGGGTCTGAATTTTTTATATATTCTTAGCAGGTGCTAAAGAGACATGTGTACAAAATTTCAAAATTACCTACCGTCTAGTTTACGAGATATACGAAATGAAAGTAGTAAAATAATGCACTATATTAAATATATTTCCATTGTTAAAATATTAATATTTTTGTCGAGATATTTCAGCTTCTAAGTGGTAATAGTGGATGAAATTTCTAGGAGACACTTTTTAATTAACCTAAAACTGAGAGAGTAATCTGGCCTGAAATTGTTCGCATTTTTCAAATTCACAAGAAAATTTTGGTATCGTATTTCAGCTTTTAGTTAACAATTGCAAAAGTGGTATCAAAATGATCGTTAACTTTGCAGAATGTATGCTGAACTGTAATTTGCGAAAACATCTGGAAAAAATCTTGTAATTTACAACTTTTGTTTATATTTTACTAGTATTGTAAATATGAGATCCGGAGTCCCGTTAAATAAATATCAATTGTATTATATGTATAATCAAATCAAATTTTTCAAAATATGCCGATATACGTATTCGAATCTGTCACACCCTCCTTATGCTCTCAGGTAAATTTTTGTACCTTATGCATGCCGGATTAATTGAATGAACTCCACCCTCGTATTATGTATTTATTCTATGTATCAGGAACAATCATTTTTGCAAACTTTTTGCAAATCTCTTCCTTCCTGACGCCTTCTATTTCTCCGATATCCTTGTCAGCATTTGCCCCACCGACCAACTTTCATTCTCCCCACCAACAGTCCGGCATATCCTTTTTATTCCCAGAGTCGCTCCCACTAACCGGCCGCTCCCAAGCGTCAGTCGACTCGACTAAGTTGGGTACCAGTTCTCCAAAAGAGTTGCTTCAGTTAACGTGACTTCGTGTCTCGCATTAAAACCAACCTTCGCAGCCACACCCAGAGAATTCTTACCGAATCGATAGGAAAGCAGTGTTAAGGTATATTATACCGTATATCCAATCCTTTTGCAATAATTTCAAATCCATTTCGTTTCTTCGTTCTAGCCGGTGAGTTCATCGGTTTTTTGTCGGAATAACTGTGAATCCGCGTTACGTGGCTACGGTTCGTGGATTGATTATGCTCGCCATGTCGATTTCTCCACTATATTGACGTTGAGATATTTTTGTACTTATTAAGGAGGGTGAGAGAGAGGAATTTGGGGCACCTATATGGTGAAATGTCAATTAACTAAATGAGAAAGGAGATATGTCTGATGTCAACAGTAGTTAAGAAATTATATCATAGGTGGCGATACTTGAGTTGTCTTGTGGAATTATAAAGTAACAGAGTATATACAAATAGTTATAATTAGCGAATGAAGAAAATCAAATGTCTATAGAAAATGCGTTAATGCCAATACCGTTTGGTTCAATGAACCGAATTAATACTTTTTCTGACTAGACTGTGTATATAATGTTTAGATGTTTCATTTAGCATTACATATGTATTATATGAGACCTAATCTTTATTTTCTTTTTAGATAACAAGAAACTATGTCGACCACACGATATGCTCACGGGCAGGTAATTAACTTTGATAAGTACATTAGCGAGTCATGATTAAGCCTAATGAGTAACTATTTTTAGAATAGTATTATTATAATTTATATGTTTCGTCAAGCAGCCGACGCCCACTGTTTATCCTGCCGATCCGTTCGATCCTGAAGCCGATGCCGCTCTTCTCAGAACTGCAATGAAAGGCTTTGGTACCGACGAGCAAGCTATCATCGATGTTCTTGCTCATCGTGGTATCATTCAACGTCTAGAAATTGCTGACAAATTTAAAACTATGTATGGAAAGGATCTCATTTCGGAATTAAAATCCGAGCTGGGTGGAAATTTTGAGAATGCGATTGTCGCCCTGATGACTCCTTTGCCGGAATATTATGCACGTGAATTACACGATGCAATTTCTGGTATCGGTACCGATGAAGGTGCCATCATTGAAGTTCTTGCTTCTCTCAGCAACTATGGCATACAAACTATCTCTGCTGTCTACAAGGATCGTGAGTGAATTGACTAATTGCCTTTAGCCTTGGTTGTAGGACGGGAATTCCTTACAGCATTACCTCATTTGGTGACTCACTTCACAATAGTTGACCTTGGATACCTGTAAATATATCTAAAAAACGCAAAGTATAAGATTCGTAGTATTGTAATGAAAAATTCGTCATGTAATCAAGGTCATCTTAAAATAATAGAAAGGAAGTGACTTGATTACTCTGCACTTCTTTTTAATTTAATTTATACAGCATAGTATTTTATTCAAGGAAAATTATAAGTTTGATGTAATGAATTTAAGTTGTGCTTCATAACGTACAATTATTTATAGTATTAATTTATTTATATTCTTTCAGTATACGGAAGTGATCTAGAGAGTGATCTCAAAGGAGATACTTCTGGACATTTCAAGCGGCTCTTGGTATCTTTGTCCTGTGTAAGTAATTTTCATGCATGTAACACAAGTGCTTTTGGATTTGGAATATGTAATTGTATACATAGTTATTCGCGTCAAAAGCACCATCTAAAGTTGGACTCGATTGAAGAATTCTGTTAATCGAGGCAGTGTGACCTTCTTAAACAAATGAAAGAATGTGAAAATCATGATGTTAGCAATGTTATGATATTATCTTTTATTTCTTTAATGATGTTGCCGTGCTCCGATTCATGAAATCACTCATTCGGGGCTATTTTCAGCTGGTGTGTTTGCCGTGAATAACTCTGTTTATGATATTTCGTGATGTAATCAATGTTTTGCTATTTATAGGCTAATCGGGACGAAGATTCAACAGTAGATGAAGCTGCTGCCATCGAATCAGCCCAGGCCCTGCTTGAAGCTGGTGAAGGCCAATGGGGTACCGATGAAAGTGTTTTCAACTCTATTTTGATTACCAAAAGTTATCCCCAACTGCGTAAGATTTTCAAAGAGTATGAAAGACTGGCTGGACACGATCTGGAGGATGCCATTAAGCGAGAATTCTCAGGATCAATTGAAGATGGCTACCTTGCCGTTGGTAAATACATATTTGAATTTTATATAAAGCACTCATTCGCATTTACCAATGATGATATCTTTACGGGAATAAGAAAATTTAATGTACTAAACATGTGTGTAAATATGACAATTGTTTTTGTTTTTCAGTAAGGTGCGCTCGTGACAAAACTGGCTATTTCGCAAAGCGTCTTCACGACGCAATGTCAGGACTTGGTACAACAGATACCACCCTGATTCGGATAATCGTGGCACGTTCTGAAATTGATCTGGGTGACATCAAGGAGACCTACGAGAGAATGTATGGCCAGTCTTTAGCAGGCGATATTGACGTGAGTACTTTTAGTTATGAAAAAACAGAAATGTATTTGAAGACGTGCACTGCTATCTTCGAATTGCACTGGTACTTTATGCATGTACACCAATCATCTTCTTGCCATTATGTCTCCATTAACTTTCTTTAATTACATTACCATCCCGTATATTTCGTGAATTTCAGGGGGACTGCTCGGGAGACTACAAGAGACTATTGCTTACCTTACTGGGCTGAGAATATTTAACTTTCATGGAAACTTTATATTATAGTATACATATATTACATGATATTACGGGTGGTATTTTTTCAGCCTTAATTGCTATAATCTTCTTTAGAAATTTCATATACTGTGTAAAAAATCTCTATTGTATTATATATAACAGTGAGCACGCGGAATTTCATTTTTTTATACTTGTACATAATGTGCAAGAACTAATTAGGTTTGAGTTACAGTATTGTGCATGCTGTGTCGGGTAGGGATTGGAATAATTAGATACGTTTTGAAATCAAATAAACCACCGAAAATACAATGTGCAATTATACCATTAAGTGGTCTTATACCAAATGACTAGACTTAAACATTACTACCGTTATTCATACTCACACATTACACCAGCTCGTATATGCATGTATGCGTGCCATTGTGTATTTGCATAAACACATATACATTCATGTACTGTGAATTTGGTTTTAATACATATGTGCCACATTCTTTTCCGTTTACAGAGCGACTGCAGCGACGATTTTAAACGGCTTCTGCTTGCGCTCGTGAATTAATTCACAGTTATACTGTGAATCTTTCTTCTCGTTTATGATTAATCAGTGTCTCTTATAACATTTATTTATATTATTAATTCACATCATATAAAAAATGTAAAAAATTATTTTTGTTCATAATAAAAATGCACGCCGGTGATCTTCACTTGCAATTTAAAAAATTTGAACCCGTTTCTTGTTTTTACAGAGTGATTGTCCAGGGGAATGGAAAAGACTTCTGATTGCTTTGCTGAACTAAGAAAGTCCTTAAACTAAAAGCGAAATACTATTAAGACATTCCAATAGTTAAAAATATGTTATGTTAGACCAATTTACGTGTTTTACGCTTGATAAAATACAACAGGTATATTTAGGTGTTGCGCAACGAACAAAAACCTGGACTTTAAATTACACACGTGCCTTGATCTTATTTAATTAAATATAGCAGAAGTAGAAAACAGATCAGTATACTTAGAATCAATTGGCTTATTTTTACATGTCACAGCATTTTACACTTGGCCTATATATTTCAAAACCAATAAACACAAAGTCATTGTTAGAATACTAAATTTATACTTTAAAATACATTTCAAACTTCAATACATCATGATGTTTATGATGAAAGAAGTTTGATTTTAAAAAAAGCAGTATCTCAATTAATGCAAAACTATAACTTATAATCTGACACACGTTACTTTGGAAATAACCACTATTTCAAAATTTACTTCACACTGCTACATCACACTCTATCAAAATCAATTATATGATCCACAAAGAAAATTAGCATTGAAATTGATTTTTTTTTTTCAGGATATTAACAGCCTTATATATGTTTAACCATAAGAGTAGCTTATAATGATGTGATTTTTGTATTATTCGACGTTGACTGTTATGAAAAATTTATGTGATCAATTTTATTATTTAATAAAAATATCTTGTATTTAACATTTCAAAAAAAAACATGTTATACATACAAAATTCAGTCATGCTACATAAGTAGAAGATATTGATGTGAACAAACAGTAAAGTCATTCAAATCATATTAACAATAGGTTTCTCATGTAGGAAACCTAATTTTCTTAAAATTGTCTTAGACCTATTAGAAACATCCAATTCTTGAGTGTTTTGATGTGCAATGTTGAAACATCCAATTTCTTGTTTGGCAATTACACATCTCATTACTTTTGCTTCAAAACGTACACAAGCAGATAGATGGTGCTTATCAAAATCTATGTTGTGTAGACGTATGCAGAGGTCTACTTCTAAAGAGTCTATAAAATGTTCTCCAAAACAAATTGGTGGTGGATTTCTAACTGTAACAGATTACAACATGCCATAGCAGATTGCACTTATTTTGTCATATAATATAAATGTATATACTAATTTAATAGATCAATACAAAGGAGACTAACCAGAAACTGTATCATTGAAAAGAGTATCAGAGTTATAGGAAATTGTCATGGAGATTCCATAATCATTAGGCAAATAAGTGATGTTAGTACACACTGAAACAAAAAATGATATTCATTACATTAACTTATGACTGAAAAGTTATTGGACTAACAGTTTGAGTTCTATGCAACATGATCGTGCTGTTCATATATTATATCAACAAGCGCCACTACATTTTTCAAGATAATATTAGATTTGTTCTTGTTACCTACACTTTGTGCAATTTTCAAAAAGTGCAAATTCTTATTGGATTATATTTTTAAATAACCAATGAAAGCTTGCCCTTTTTTGAAAAGTGCAGAAAGTTATACATAACGAGACAAACCTATTGAACATATTAAAACACTATTGCACCATGTGACACTGTTTTGTGAGTTTTGTACGACCTCTGGTACTCAGCTGGTTAATAAATAAATAACGTCACTGAATTACCTGTAGCATTGATGTAAATACGAGGCAGGTCAATATATTCACAACATCCACAATTATTGTTTGCACACTTGCAGCTATTAAAACTGGTGTCCTGTAACTGATTTTCTTCTATTCTATTGTTTTCTACAGAAGAAATACATAATTAGTAATCAAGAATTTTTGTTCCGTGAAGAATATTACGATAAGTAAGATTTCTTGAATCCATCAAAAAACAGTCAACAACGAAATAAAAAATATTTTCATAACCTGCATATTCGGCTTGGATAACTGAAATCACGATAACTGCAACTGTAACGAATATTAAAAAACTACGCATGTTTTTGAAGCTAAGTTACACTATGCAACACAAGAAAATGAAGAATAAAATCACTTTTAGTAATAAATTATTATCAGCTATTGACATGATCTCTTGAGCTTTAGTTGACTAAAGACTGTTTTCTTCGACGCGGTTCACTGTATAAACTTGGTTCGCTGTGTTATTAGCCAATCAGGCACTTATATTTTGAAGATAAACGGAGCTTATACATCAGCTGTTCTCTGGCTGACTCGCTACCAGGGTTGGGTAGGTAGGATACTCGATGTAAATTACATGGTTTTTGACATGTAGTATACTAGGTATTTTACGTCCCTAGTTTTCTACTCTATGTAGTCTACGTCGAGCGATGTAGGCGCCCCTTCAGGTCGTTAATGCAACTATACGCATCTGCAATCCGCATGTGATCTGCATCACATACACATTAATCGTTTGTTTGTCGATTTGCATTTACGGGAAATTCACATAGAACCAAGTAATAAGAAACAAAGTTCATATAATTTTTGATTACTTATACGACCCTTAGTTTAGGCACTCTTGGCACTCATCATTTCATCCACAAACTTTTCTCAAGATTGATAATTTATAAAAAGTATAAAAAATATTAATCATTGCCCATTGCTATACAGTTTAGATGTGCTTTAAATGAGGTTAGGTTGGTTGTTGACGTATTCGACGTTTTCTACTTTTTCGACGTATAATACCAGGTAGTCTACATGACATGTTAAAAACCCTAGATATCATCATTTTACCCAAACCTGCTCGTTACCAATACCCATGGAGACTAGAGTAGAGGATAGGGATGTTCGATTCCGATTTAATTCTTTAAAAGATCGATTATTTTTGTCAATAAATCGATTTTTTAAATCGATTCTATGCTATTTGATTTATTTATGAATCGATACTTTACCCCAAGAATCGAAAAATCCGATACCTTTTTGAAATTTTTTTACTTGCTAACAGAGGAAGTTTTGTGTTCATAACAAAATCTCATCAGCATACCCGATTCTTAGCGTTATTGCCAAAAAATATTCAGCGGTTGTTGAAACGTCAGTACCTTCAGAGAGATTATTCACAAGGGCTGGCAATATTGTAACAGAATCTACGAATAGACATTCGCCCGAACATCTACAACAGTTATTATTTCTAAATTCGTTATCTATGAAAGATTGGCAGTTAGAAATAAAATAAGTAAATTTTTATTAAAAATTAAATAGTATAAGTATGCTTTAGAAAACCTGTGTTTCGTAAATATTTTCCTTAATAATATGCCATTTTCTAAAACAGGAAGGCCTGATTCTTTAATTACCTATTTAATTTATAAATTAATTTTAAGAATCAAAAAACTAAAACCAATTGAAGTTCAAAATTAATAAATATGTATTAATAATAAAAATTATATGTGCTTGTTTTAATTATACTTAAACAATGTGTTTACGATTTTTTAGATCGATTCTTACAAGATCGACTCTTTGATTCCGATTTTTTAACAGAATCGATTTGTATAATTCGATTCTTCTAAGAAAATCGAACATCCCTAGTAGAGGAGTCCCATCTCTAATAGGGGAATCAACGAAAAAACGACACCAGAAATACGTCGAAAATAAGAAATTCACTATTTCGCCGATGGCGTCGCTGTTGTCAATAACTAACCTATATATAGATATAGAAGCCATGTAGATTATATATATATGTATATCTTTTCGCCCGGTACACTCCCCACCATGGGCGATTTCACTAGCGGAGTCAGCGTCGCAAGTGTCGTTCCGTCAAATCCTTAGCGACCCTAGCAACCGCTTCCGTATCGTTGCTATGTATTTTTAGCGTAAGCCGTTATAAATTACGGAACGTGGCATGCTCGATGTTACTCATCATGTTCCGTGCTCCGTGAAATACGTAATATTTTGCCAATATTTCCATGCGTGAAATGTCATTACCTGTCACCTGTCATTACCAGCTCTATAGACGAGGTCATTATCAATATCGTTAGAGAAATGAAATTTCTCTACGATAAAAGTCATCGTGACTTTAAAAATGAAGTAATGATTCACTTATCTGTATGAATACACGCATACACATTTTTTTTGATATTTATATATTGACAGATAATGACAGGTGACAGGTGACATTTGACAATGATGTTTCGTGCTCCGTGAAGTCCTTAAAGACCCTAGCAACCGCTTCCGGATCGTTGCTATGTCCAAGACGTCATAAAAATCGTAGAGACTTAGTAAACGCTCGGTTTTAAAAACGATTTTCTCCTTCTTGATTGGAGGATTCAATGGAATTACGTAAATATCAAATGAAGATCTTATTGCTTATTTCTTATTCCTTATTTCTTATTATATTGCATTGTAGAATGGCCTTAAAGGTTTGTGTTCAGGAAATCTTTTTCTTTTTGTTCCTTATTGGCTTTGTGCTCTAGAGAGCTTGGCTCTCTGCCAGCGTACCTAGGAATAGGGCCGCGTGGAAAAACATTAATTTGAATCTAATCAGTTTCTAATAATGCACCATATGTGGCAGATACGTGCCGAGCGAGCGCTCGTTAAAATTCTGGGGGTTGATTACGTAACTCAAATGTAGTGAAAACGCTTAAAGTGAATAGCTCTTACGGCCAATTTCTTCACCTTCGGATATAATGTATCATGCGGATAAATTTCTAAAACATGAAAATAATTGGCTAGCTGCGGATTTATCCGCAGGATAAATTTTATCCGAAGGTGAAGAAATTGGCCATTAGCTAATCGCGACACAATCGGCACAACAGACTCGTAGTACTGGTAGTAAATTTCGGCATGTACCCAGGGTATATTCCTTAATTGAACCACGGTTGCGGTTGTTAAATTTTAATGGCCTCGGCCTATTTTTGTCACCAGCCGAAATCAGCCGATGCAATTTGTCTGAAATTTAATAACCGTAACTATGGTTCAGTAACGAAATATGGTTCCGAACTGTTAGGTCGGCTCATTGTAGGACTTTTCGTGCGTTTGTCCTAACATTTTTATCTGCTCCGGAACACTTCAGGTGTGTTCGCAAATAAGTTGAGAACGTGAGACCAACCGCATCAAATGCATTCCATAACCCTTATGTGAATACCCAAACTATTGTACGTTGTTCAATAGCCGGGGTACCCGGGTACCCTCACGGTAAATCCATGCAATAAAACAAGTTTATGAGCGGGAATTCGTCACTGGATTTGTTTATTCGACATCTGAGTCACATTAGGTGCTTCCACTACATGAGGCAGCCCTTTTTAAGGTATTCTGAAATGCCTTGGAGGGGAATTATGGCAAATGCCCTATGGTTTATGCGAGAAGTTCAGTAGTGTTACCGTCATTCTCAAACGAGACCTAACTGAACGCGGACGTTTGTAAATGCAGTGATATTTTGGGTAACTCTGTCGATTAGCCCCTTTTCCGAAAAAAGCCAAAAGAATTTTTTTTTCACCTCGATTGGCTTGTTGGAATGTTAAATAATGAAGATCAGTCGGGGAAGCCCGAATTTTTTTTTATTTTTTTATTTTAGCCAATTCTATCAGCGATTCGATCAATAACTACGTTTATACGAAGGTCTTAAACCGGTTTAGTTAATAATGATTTAAAGGAATAGACAAATCATAGACATTTCTACTTGTAAGGATTATTTGGGATTGGCTAGTTCCTTTAGATCAGTACTAAATGAACTGGTTCAAGCCGCCGTAGCCTATGAGTACATTTCCATCGTGCAGAATTTTAGTAGAAGTGACCAATGACGTTCGCGTATTCTTTTCAAATGTTGTGCATGATTGGTTAATCCTCTTTAAATCATGCACAGTAAAAAACGTAGTGATAAGTTTTTAATATTAAAGTGTACAGAAATGTCATAGACACGTAGAACTGTAAAACATAAATAATAAATATAAGTAAAAATGAAGTAATTTAATACATAGGGTGCGTTCCGAAATATACTGACAGTACTGCCAGGACTGTAACCAACGCTGTGTCCTTATTCATCCATACGCATCTAAGAGAGATGTAATTACTTTTACAGTACTGTCAGTACATTTCGGAACGCACCCAGAAACTCAGTGTACTCGAACTTCATGGTATATGAGTGCAGGTTTGATTGCTCATCTGGGAGCAATATCGTGACCTAACCAAATTTCAGATTTTTCCAGCTTTAGTTATGCTTATGTTGTATTAGGTTGGATGTGGTTAAATACAAATAGTAAATAAAAACATGACTAATGATGGATTTCAAAAGGCATCTTCGCAAAAAGTCCACAGTGGTTGTTTTTCCATTGTAGCTATTAACATTGGCCTGTTTTTGTACATTAGTACAAAAAAAGATTTATATCGTTCGAGATATCATATAGAACTATGTGTATATAATCATATAACATAGTATAGTACCAGATAAAAAACTTATATCTATCTGATCAGATCTAAAATAATAAAAAAATATACTTTGAAAATGTAATTCTATAAAGATTGAGTTTTATTGATGATTATTGTAGAAACATGTATGATTCTACGGAATCTTTCGTTTAAAAATTTAACTCTGTCTTTAACATTGATGTGGATACCAGCCCGTATCTGAATCACAGGAAATGAGGAGACCGATAGAAGAGCACAAACGGCGGCAAAAGATTCGAAAATAAACGAAATACCAGTAACACTACAGAATCTTATAGTAAAAACGAGAGAAATAATTACAAAGGAATGGTAAAAGAAATTAGATAGCTACTAGATCAAACTAAAATACATTAAACAGACTGTGGAAATATGGAAAACACCAACCACAATTAACTGAAGAGAACAAATAGCATTAACAAAAATAAGGTTTGGACTCATGGAAGTATCTTCTAGCTACATGTTCAACGGAGAAGAGCACCAAAGTGCACTAAATGCAATACGAAACTAATAGAGCAACATATTTATTCTATAGAAATGCTCAGGATATATGCGTGCAAGACAATGTTTAAAAATGTAGACACAATTATGCAACATTTTAACAAGCAACGTAGAGTCAATTAAGAAAGTTATATACTTCTGTAAAATCATAAATGTTACAAATAAACTGTAAAAAATTATGAAAAATGTAAAATAAGACAAATATTAATATAGAACTGTTCAATGATCTACAAGGTCAACGCCATAAATAAGTAAAGGAGAGTGTTAACGGCGGAAAAAACGACTCGCGTTTCAGTGACATCCGATCGCCAGTAAAAACTGGAACGAACTTTCACAAGCCGACATGAAATTACGGACTTTTAACAACATATAACATTAAACGATATAAAAGTTATACGAATATCTTTAGCATGAATCACATTAACAATCAGATAAGTAATAGTTTATCTTTAGATACGTTTATCAATTAAATTTTAGGAGTTGTAGAGTAATTTAGGTTATGTATCAATTTTTGACACGCAAGATACAATTTGGCTCGTTTCAATCGCGATACATTCAAGTGTTAGAAACCCCGACAGTAGACGAACATTATTAAAACTGTATTTAATTATTAGATTTGAATGATTCAACTCAAAGAATACGTTGATTTTAGTTAAAAAGCTTTAACGTATGTGTTGTAACACTTTATTTTCAATTTGTCAATTCACCGTGTTCGTAAACAAAAACAATCGAAACCGGTGTTCTAGACATGTCAGAAACTGGGCCGTTTACCTTATATGTATATTATATAATTATTTTTTTTTGGGCAGTTTGCATTGGCCATACTTCAATGGTTTTTTCCAGCTGAGTCGGATGAGAGTTAAAATACATCTTTAAATTACTAATATATTACCTATACAATATTCCATCTTTTATTTGATCTCCGGTGGAAATATACCTAATGTGTCATCAGTCACCATATTTATATGATTTGGGTAGGTTAGATTAGGTTATTTTATCTTTCGTGTAGTTGGCTGCGGAAACGTTAGAAACTCTGCACGTTTAGTGCATTAAAGTCACGTTACCTGTATGAGCATTTGAATGAGACAAAAAAAAATAATTTTAAGAGCTTTCTGCCTACAAATTAGTTAATTAGAATACTGCAGTTAAATATTAAATAACATAGATTTAGATTATTAGATATTATGTAAAATGAAATTGCGGATTTTAACAAACTTCTAAGTGATTTAGAAAAAAAATTTCTTGACATTTTTTAAAACTTTGATTCAAGTTAACCCGTTTACTAAAAAGTGTATATTTTATTATTCGTCATACTGACAAGGAAACCCCTCCAACCCGACCCCACCGATTTCACTAATTTTTTGATATGTTGTAGTACTCGACAAAATAAGAGACACGTATTTTTTTTTTTGTGCTGACATCCACTTTAAAGGGGTGAAAACGACCCCTGAAATTCACCCCCGAAAATCGTTTTTTCATCATATCTCGACTTCTTTTAGAAAAAAAATGTCTTCACAATTTTTAAAACTTTGATTCAAGTTAATCCGTTTACTAAAAAGTGTATATTTTATTATTCGTCATACTGAGATATAAATAAGAAAGAAGGAAAAAAAATGTTTTCGCAACATGATGCGATAAAATCGCATGGAGCAGCTAAAGGTCAATGCAGAAAAGAAAAATATTTGCCGGAGAGAAAAATAATCTTTTCAATTTTGGAACATGGAGTGTATTTGCGGGCTTCTGTTATACGTGTTGCGACTTTCACAAACGTAAGAATACTAAAGAAAATAAGTTTGTCGATATTTTGGCAATAAAGACATTTTTCAATTGTTTACTTAAATTTTTTTTTTTCGTGATTTTCGAAAAAAGTTATGATTCATATTATCATTATTTTATTTTTTATAAACATTTAAAAAATTTCTAGATAAAAAGTATATATTTTTTATGTAATATAGTTTGACGATCGCAGAGTTCATGCTACAGATTGTATTTTCTAAACCGTTTCGTTCATTTATTTATTCGGTAACTAGTCTTGAAGTGTGCAATAATTATTATATATCACAAATTGAGAAAGGTATATAAAAATGGTAAAAGAGGTAGAACGTTTTTAAAAATATTTTATTTTCACATACATACAGTGCTCAGAATAAGCTGATATTACAAATTTATAAGCTAAGAAAATAAGCTATTATTTGAGCATGTAGCAAAATAATATTTGCTTGCATGTCAATTCTTTATTACGGAGCTTCAACAGCTTTGGCGGACGCGTCGGTACGACTGTAATATCAGAAGTCTCATTGGCCAGACATATTACGAAAAATGATTTTGATCAATAAGAAGTTTAATGTTCTGAAATTTACTCAAATAGAAAGATTGACCCAACAGCTGTGAAGGTTCTTTTATTCCTACTGGTGTCAAGTTCAAGGAGACGCGAACGAAAGATATTTTCGGTGTAATATAGTTTATAATCTGCGATTTTTGCGTTATTCATTCAAATAAAGAATTCTTTGCTTTGATACGTTGGCCCCAACATCAACATATCGCTGTTATCACATCCGTTAAATTATGCACTAGCAGTCAGAAATACCAAAAGTCCGATGGAGTGGAACTATAATACAAATTCGCAAAACCATATGTTGTTGTTGTTTCCTTTTTTTTTTAGAGAAAAATTAAGGAAATAAATCATAAAGGAAAATTATAGAACTCTGGTGCTTATTTGTCAATTTCAAGAATTACAATCAATTTGATTAAAGGGATTCGGGAGCACTGTCGCTATCATGTATCTTCACAAATTTCCATATGAAAAACTTCTTTACAGATCACTCACAGATTGAGGATATTAGAAATACGAAATAATATTTTTTGGAAAATGTATGTTGAATAAGAGTAATATTAATTTACCATTCTACGACTAATTTTCTTGTCATACGTAAATAAAATTATGAAAATTTAGACATATTTAAAATATTGTGGCTAAAATTCAGAACAAATGGCTAAATCAATATATAATGTTACAGATGCATATGGGACAGAAATATTTGCAGATGTTCAGTATATACGATTTTGGTAGAGCTCAGACGGAGAATTCATAATATTCTATATTCTATTTACGCACGGTGTTAAATTGCAGATGAATCGCAGAATCAATGAAATCAAAATTTACAAAGAAAATTAAATTTTAGTTAAAGATGATATATTAATATCTGAAAACATCTGAAACTTCCGGTTTCAATAAGACACACAAAAAAATCTAGAGAATTGAATGAAATGCCTTATGTTCAACAACTAATTTCAAAAATTTCTTCAGTACTGCATGCTGTGGATCATTTGTACTTGCTGATAGATGTCATGCAACAAAGGGAACTTTTTTACCCCAATATTTCTATGTATGGTGCCGTACATGGTGACAGATGCTATGCTATTTTAACATGGCGATGAACAACTTTTTTTAGACCATGAACGTAGACTACCAGAACATGTCATCATTTGAAGGCAAAGCCAGAAGAAAGGGAATGAAGGAAGGAAGGAAGACGAGTATGGGCGTTTTTTTCACAAAGGGATTTGACCAGCATATGTATATGTATGTTAGCCCTACTCGTAGTTGCATAATTATGTTTAATTTTACATCAGCTGCTAAGATTTTACGTAAGTAAAAGTTTAACTGTATATAAATGATTTAATACGCAGCTAAAAAAGGAATGACTAGAATAACGTAGTTTGCTATGTTGAGGTATTATTCTAATTTCTGAAATATTAACTATATTACTATAATTAGTGTACCTAATAATGGACATCATTTTAAAAATATTATGAATACGTTAAAGTTATGAATTACTATGGCAAAATGAAAATACAAAATTTTACAAGGTAAGACAGTTAATGATTATCTGTTTTAGACAAATTTTATTCCATTTCTATATTATTTTTTAATTATTTCGCACGAATTCAGTATATTTGTCGTCCCGGATTATAATATTGATTTGCATGGTAACGTAGGGGCAGCATTTTTGGTAAATACCAGTTGTACATATGAGAATAATAAATTTCTTTTTCTCTCATAAAAAGCATTAAAGTTTGAAGCTATTGAAGATGATTTTTTATTATCATGCATTTTCATAGTCTACTATATCTTCACCGTCGCTTGATTCATTCTTTAATTCTTTGTCATGATACGCTGCTATCGATACAGTTTTACGTGCTTTTATGACGTCTTTTATTTTTTCCTTGACTGCCTTTCGTTTTTTCGATTTTCCCTTCGGTTTTGTTTTCTCCATTACGGGTGGTGGTGGAGTAGTATCGGGATATGCTTCCAAATAGTAAGCTTTCAAAGCTCCTTGATCGACGACAGTTTTTGAAGTAGCGAAAGCATTACAAATTTCGTTCACAAGCGATTCCGACAACTTTATTTTGAAAGCTTTCACCAGCTCTTTAAATTTATCTGTGCGAAAAATAGTGCAAATTCTAATAAACTTATTCATTGTATTATATTGTGAACTATAAATGAATAAATAAAAGCATACTCTTTGCATTCAGCTTGTCTTCCAAGGATAGTATGAAGTGTCCAAAGTTTTTACGCAATTTTTTTTTCTTGGGCATTAAAGCCTCAAAGTTGGCTCTCTTCAATAATATTTTCTTGGCGTCAGGCCCAATTATTTTGTAATTACTCAAAATACCTCCTAATTCGACAGTGAGCCAAGAGCGATCATTTTGAATTTTTTCAAGTTCAGGTAAAATATCTTTATTTGCCCAAACATTTTCTAAATTCAAGTATCGCATTTTACTCTCTGGTGATTGTTCTGGCGTAAGAGCCTGAACTAAAGTTAAAGCTCCCAGAGCTTTTAAAGGATTATTTCCCAGGCACAACGTCTCCATACCCACGTTCTTTGACAAGGATTTCCCCAGCTCGACAGCTGCTACCTCGTTAAACTTATTTCCTATAATGAAACCGTGCTAAGCAGTGTAAATTTTTAAGTAAACACTCTTTTGTTCTCGAGGAAGACTAACATTACCGTTCAAATTGAAGTGAAGGAGGTTTGGCGTGAGCACCAGGAAGGGGCAGAGAAACGGAAGAGACTCCATGCCGAGTGCGTTCCAGGATAAGTTGACATCGGTGAGTGTCCTGTTCCTTGAGAGTCCTGCGAAGAGTGGCCTGGACGCTTCTTTATTGAAAAGTGAGTTCCAGGAGAGGTCCAAGCAGGTCAGACTATCCGTTTGAGCGAGTAGCGTCTGCAGTATCTTTCCGCTCTCTTCGCCAAGTTCATTATCCGCCAGGTTGACAGTGAGAAGTACCGGATTGAAGTAAATTGCCGGTGCCGCGATTCCGAGACCCTCATCTCCAAGAGCACAACGACTCAAGTCCAATTCATGAAGTGCCATTGCTGTTGAAATACCGTTCTGTAATCGTTTCGCACCTTGTGGTCCGATTCGACATCCACTGAGACTCAGGCTCGACAATATATTATTCTCTTGATAGAGTTCACTGAGATGAGAGCAGGCATCTGGCGGTAGATAATTATCCTAAAAGAACGATGCATCCGCAGTCCAAGGTATAATAAAAATAAGACTCCTTGAAGAAGGTACCTTCAGATCCAAGGCTTGGACAGATGTATTATTCCTAATCGAATGACAAATAGCTTTAAGCGTTTTAGCATCCACTCCGTAATAGCGCAGATTAATTTTATCGGTTCGCAGCATCTCCAGCATGCACTGAATGAGCTTCAATTGCATGGTTTTCGTCAAATCGATGAACTTCTGGATACCGTCGTCTTTGTACGCACGTGAACGTGGATACAGCGTCCAGAATCCATCAGCCAACCCTGGATCTTCGGGTGCAGGATAAATATTGAAGAGATTCAATAGCTTGAGTTGAGAGTCGCTGATGTCTATATCCTTCAAGCAAAGATATGTCGACGCTTCGCTAGATTCGTCATGCTTTCCGAGAATTTCATCTGTCAGTGTTACTATCGTGTCCACTGAAATCGAATCTTCATCTTTCCTTGTGTTGATCTAAAGCGTTTAAACGTGAAACAGTTTTATCGTTAAATCAGTCGGACGTGTATGTCAATTGACGCTAAGTAGGCAATTTGGTTAAAATCAAGTTACGCCAATCAGTCTTCGTAAGCGTTCGCGTTTCTCCCTTTCTTTCTCGACTGCCTCGGTCACTCTCTGCTCGGTATAAACGGATACGTAATCGATAAAATCTTCTACGTGAGATTCCTTCCTCGGTTGCTTGTCTTCCTCATCCTCTTCCTCATCCTCTCCTTTATCCTCTTCTTCATCCTCTTCTTCGACCTGCTCGAAGCGTTCTTCGGATTCTTCCCATCGGACCCGGAGCCCGCTCGTACGAGTTCTTAAATCCTGAATGAAAGCTACGTGACATTGATTTCTTTTACTTACTATATATACAGAGAACCGTATTACTGCTTGTAGAAGGGGAAAAAAAGTAACAAGTCATTGAATCTTGTGAATGTCCAATTTGTTATATGACAAAATATTATAAATACTCCTTGCTCGTCCATGTCACTTTCCTAGTGACTGATCTGTCGACCGGTAGACTCGGTAGGGCCTAAGAAAAGTTTTGATTCTTTCTAAATTCAAAGGGGTTCGTAACGATTTCAATAACCGGAATTTAAACGAATATAGTCGAGTATCGTTTGATCGTAGAAAAGTAAACATCACGTTTTGAACGATACAATGCCTACTCTGTGAAAGCGGCAATTAAATAACCCCGAATTCACGGCAGGTTTCATCTAGACGTTGACGAGGCGTTAATCGACATCGTGCAGGGAGCTTTGGACAAACTGACCCTGTTCATCGGCGTCAGGGTGACTCATATACTGAGTATTCTTCAAGTGGACCTTCTTGTCCATTGTGTTGTAATTTTGAGAGTGTTCAATTAGCAATTACTGTACGCCCAGACTTACCCGCAGGAACCACCATGCTCCTATTGTACGTTGTGATTACTGGCCTATATATGGAATCGCAGGATCGTCTGGTATTATGAGGCCCCATGGGTGCATGACCCTCATAATAAATATAAAGGAGCCTAAATATAACCATTCAGAATACTGGATATACAATTTTCTTTAGAGATAAAACATGTGTGTCCATATGGGAAAATCGAAATCACGTAATAATCTTAATTTAAGAAACAGTAATACCATCTATCGATCAAACTATACTTTTTCGATATAAATAAAAAGGCCACATTGAAGATTGTACTTTTTATTGAAATTTTTCATCGTTATTTTACTGGGGGAAGGATTGGGGGTTTAAGGAGAGGGAACATATGTCAAAAGGAACTTATTTACACACACTCATACACACGACAATTGCGGAAACACACACGATCGTTTCAACCACATGGGTATCCTTTAACTATCTACTTTGGATCAGAGGCATTAGTTCGATAAATGAAAGGCTAAGTCGCATTGGAGATGTTACAAAGGAGTCATTGGTCCTTCTTTGAGCATTAACGAGTATCTTGAACGAAAATCATTGGAGCTGATGAACGACGGTACGACGTAGCTTTTCGCAAAGGAATTCGAGGAAAATATATAATCGGAAAAGAAACTCTCACATTTCGCGAATAAGGAACCAGTGCCTGTGATCAGGAAAATAATTAAGAGAATAAAATAAAAATAATAATACAATATATAATCGATCTATCTATTCGCATAATAATATAGTTTTCTTTATAAAATAAACGTTCTATTATAAAATTTGTTTTCTTGCATAAAATCACTTATGGAAACTATTATACCGTATGTGTATAAACTAGTATATGCACGCATGATAATAAAAATCGGTTCACATTATGCGTCAACGATGCGAGCGTCGTAATTGCACAACAGCACTCGAGAAATTGCAATTAGGTAGTAAGATACCCGATGAAAACAAGAAAATATAAAAGTGGTAAGACAAGGATGATAATGGACTACTGGTAGAGGAAGTTGGAGAGGAGAATGAAACGGAGAAAGATACAAAAATACAAGATGACTTCTATTTACATTGCGACGAAATTTCATGAAAGCATACATGAATCTAAAAGTCTTTGCACGTATCTGACATTGCGAGTAAAGCTCAGGAGAGATTCCAGGAGTCGCCATTTTAATAGCGACGTCCTCGACGCTACGTCATAGTCGACGCACAAATATGTCCGATATGTTGCACACAAATATCATCGCAGTAATTTCTCTTAAGAGTCTCTCACTGGGTCGCCGTACGTACTGGGGTTCTTCTTTTTTTTTTGTTATTATTCGCAATTTAATATTCCCTTGTAATAATATCTTCATAATTATCGTGATCATCATTCTCTTCGTACTTTACTCATAATCATAACTCTGTATTATAATATCACTTCGTTTCGCTCATTAAATAAACCTCGTAACGCGTGTGATTGTAATGCATGATTTCATTTCTATGAGTATCACAATATCGTCGGAAGGAACGTGAAGCCTGCGTTTAAAAATATGTAAAAAGTATATTATAGTTGTGCGAATGATTTTATCACAACCTGGAGCTGGTAGTTGGCAAATATATATATATATATGTGTATATATATATATATATATAATATATAAACGATAATGTAAATAGACAGA